CGACGCTCTTCCGATCTCCCCAAAACCCCAAAACCCCGTGAAAAAGATTGTTTCGAAAAAGAAAGTGTATTATTAATTAAATACTAATAATCAATGAAAAGTTCAAGTGTTTCATTTACTAAGTGTTTTACAAGGAATAGTTATCCTTATGTAAAGTCTGCCTTATAAATACTAACATATTTGTCAAAAATGACTCACTGCATGTTGCCATTATCGTTATCAGAGATTGCACTAAGATTATGCTAGAAATTTTCGTCTATTTATGAGATACCAGATTTGTCACCAAAATTTTTTATATCTCCATCATCAGAGAATTGACTGTTATCATTTAGGTTGAAACTATTACCTCCAATCTTTATAGATCCACCAGAAATTTAATCATCGTCATTGCTGAAAACTTCAGTTTGCTTTTCGTTCTAATGATTCATTGGTGTTGTTTCAGTATTTTTCACTGTAATAGATATGTGCCTTCTTGATGCTCGTTACATACTTTGGTCTTCTTCTGAATCTTCTTCGCCTGATTCTTCATGGAAGATTTCTTATCCCTTAGGAACATATGTCTTAGAATCAAGCTTCTTGAGGTTTGGTTTAATAGAATTCTTATTTTGAGGACTCATAGATTATTACTTGACGTCCTTGAAAACTAATTGCTAAGGATCGAGAATAGGGGGTACAACTCTCTTTATAGATGCTCTTATCTCACTTTCCTGTAATTCATGCATAATTCCCATTACGAAGTCCTGTTAATTAACTGGTCCTTCAATCTAATCCTCATCCCCAAAACTCTTATTTCTCTTAAAACGCTTGGAAGATCTCCTCAAGTTGTCAATAGAGTCTTCATCAGCTTCATCAATAATATCACTCTCTCCTTCAATGAAAATGTTTTAGTTTCCTCCCATCTCATCTATCATATCTTGAGCGTCAATTTCAGAATCCATTCCGTATCCTTAGCTTTGGAAATCATCGACAATGACATGTGATGAACCACCAACGCTACTTTGAACTCTAGATCTCATTCCACCAATTCTTTTTTTACCCCCCATTTTATTCTTTTGTCTAAATGACTACTAACCTCCAATATTTTTAATAGTGGTTTCAGACATTGCGTTGCTTTAGAATGAAGTATCGCCGTCTCCGCCCATATTAATTATATTGCCGTCAGAATACATAGAACCTGCATCCCAATTTGATTAGTTTCTCTTAATATCTGTCATGTTCATTGATGAATCTGAGTCATTTCTATAGATCTGAGAATCACCATCTTACGACTCAAACTATCTGATTGATAAAAAAGATTGGTCCTAGCTGTACTCGCTTTACCCACCAATCTTAATAATTCTGCTACCATCGGATAGGTCGTCGTCAATGTAAGCTGAACCATCATTTGAATTGTCTGCGTCAACTACAAGTCTATTACTAGTGTTACCAGCTGTTTGCTTAGTACTTTTGCCAAAACCTCTAAAGCCCAAACTGATGCCAGCTGCTGGGTTCGAAATCTTTTAATCCATTTTCCTTGGTCTAAGCTTAGTATTAGCCATGCCTACTTTCTTTTTTTATCTGAGCATTTTTTCTTTTTTCTTTCTCTCTATATAGTCCTAAATTGATGGTTAATTAAATTCACATTAGTTTCATAAATAGAAGATCGGTTATTATTCGCGCAAAGTAATTTCAAATAAATTTTTATTGGGGCTTTGAGCCAGCCAAATGCGAACTTATCGAATGATTTTATTTGGCATAAAATTAGATTCTTATGAATTATATCTGTACTTACATTGTAAAGATCCTCTCGTCTTTGCAAGTAATTGCTGCTGATTGACTGATCAGAGTCTCTTCTCTTAATGTATTTTTACTTTAATTTGCTCATATCCAAAAAATGTTCATCTTCATTCGCTTGCTCTTCATTGTCGCTGTGATGATCTTTCATTCCTATGATGTGTTTTATATCCTCCACTGCATAGCTCAAAGCAGTCCCCATAATATCCATGTGCTTCTTTTTGGTTACCATTAGCTTTCGAGATTCTCTGAGGTTTTCATACTCTACGAAGTCTGATGGGGTGTTTATTTGGCTGCCACCACATGAATCAAGTACACTTGCTATTCCTCCCATTATTAAGATGATATAAATCAATTTTTTATTTGATCAGAATTGTGCTGACTTCACTTTAAATTCTATGGATTATTCTACCACGGGGTTTTGGGGTTTTGGGGTTTTGGGGTTTTGATTTTATTAATTT